TACACAAGCGTGCAGAGGGCCGTCTGTCGACGCAGCGGTCTACGCCTCAAGTGACACTAGACATCGGCAGCTCAAAGGCGAGTGTTTGCCCCTTTGTCTTACCGGGCAATTAGTGCAGTCCGTTCATTTAATTCTATCGGTCGATTAGCAACGGAGCCAGGTGGCCATTAATTGTTCGCCGCCAATTTGCGTACAGTCCCCGGTTGGGCGCCAGTCACGGCGACGCACAAAGTGGACGAGAAAGCGCGACTATTCGATTTGACATTACGTGTGCATAGCGAGATGAATATTACGTATGAGGGATCCGCATACAGCTGTTTTATCCCTAATTTAAATTGCGCTGTTGCAGATATTTGTTTTGATACGGGGAAAATAAATATCTATTTGATACATTCAGGAAATATCTCATTCGGTTTATGCTTAGAAAATAGACAAAGACGAAATCTTTTTTTAAAGATCTGTGAAATATAAGACATCTTTACTTTGAAATATTATTACAGTAAGCAATTCCAATTTAGCTCCCAGTGTGGAGTTCAGAATCCTTTCAAATCACGATTCCGCTACTGTATTTATCTTAGCTATCCGAAAAAGTTGGAAACTTGGTGGATCAGATCGGGTGGCCCGCATGCAGACTCCTTAAGTTCTTCCTAACTTTTATGTTAAAAGATTGGAAGAAATCATGGGATTGTACACCAATTGCGAGAACTTTCTGTTATAAATTCAGGATTGAAAATATTTATAAGAGCTCGCCGCAGTTGAGATTTTTTGATCTGAGGTGTTTCTTTCATCTGTTGTGAGCATGAATGCATTTCTCATTGAACTGAAAATAGTTCTTCAGTTCTTTAATGACAAAAATAGTACACATATTTTTTAAATGCACGGAATCAGAGATTTCAAACGCAGCTTCCACTAAAGTAGGTAGGTAGCTCAAAAGTAATAAGTCAAAGTTTAAATACGGCGAAGTCTTTAAATAACGAACAAATACTGGAAAGTCCGCTATCAAGAGCTCTGACAACCAAAAAACCTTTAAATACTTCCTACTCACTTTGAGTCCACTACTTCTCGTTGGCAAGTCAGTAAAGGACAGTAAGTCTCACTTCTGCGACAAAGCTATGAATCGTCCCCTTTAGCGATCTGTCTCGATTCAGCCAATTACTAAAAGGTCGCAACTACCTTCTATTGCCGCACTCATGCAGAATTAACTGAACATTTGCAGATTTTTCTTTTTCAAAAGAATCTTCCCTACATTATTTATTTTCTTGTGAACTCCTATTTAATGTACTTCCCTTTTACAGCTCGGGCCAGATTAGTTTATTTCGGAGAAATCCTTTAACTTACCTACAAAGAGAACGCTGAGCAAAACAGTGACAAAAGTTCGCAATTTTGGGATGACTCCTGTCGATTTATGAACTAAATAATTAAATTAAGTGTTCCTATGTTAGACAATAAGGTCAAAGGCATATGCTATTTAGTTTGTTATAGAGATACGTGTAACCAACCATTTCTTTCATTCTTTGACTTCCGCGACTTATAAATAATACATCATGTTTAGTTAAATAATATTTATCGTGATCAAAGACATTGAAAAATTCAAATTAAAAATGATATTAGGTACTATCGAATTATTTTTGATTTCAAAAAAGTTACTAGGGACTTCCTGCCAGGAAATGTTACACCCAGCCTGTACCTGTTTCACTGTTTCTTTGCATGTCAACTTGAAGTGAATGGACATAACAGCTGCAAAGAATTCAGTCTCTTGTCGTTAATAAAAACTAAGCAGAACAAGTAATTACGAATCTAAACAACACGTTACGCGTGCGCGTCCCATCCACGTCCGTATAGAGGTAATTAAAAACAAAATGTGATACTCGATGAGATTATTTTTAGTCGAGTCAAATTAAGGGGAGATAAAATCGACTAAAATTATAATATCGTATTTTTCGTGCAGGAGAGCATCAAAGCGGCGGTTGCGCCGTTGTTCCGCGGAACGGCGGTATTAGCGCACTGTCGCATCTTCAGAGGGCGGCGAGATCAAAGGATAGGTACACAGTAACCGCTTCCATTGATGTCGTGCACAAAGGGAATTGATTGTTGCAAACCTGCTTTTTTAAAAAGAGGAGACGTATTGATGACACATTCTGCTTTATTTTTTTTTTGTTTTCTGTTTTACGTTCGTGTTTACAATGTGCGATATGACGGGGCGCGTGTGGATATACGAACTCTGTTGTTTAACTACCGTAAATAAAACAGTAGTTAGGTTGAAATAAAAGTTAAGATTTGTTTTTTTTTTCTTCTTTTACATACATCATTTTAATGAATAAATTGGGTCAAATATCATACAGTTAATTCAATATCATTAATGTGTCTATGATATAATAGAGTAAATAGTAATTAGTTATTTTTATCACAGAATTTGACCCGACCTTATTTAACATGTAGGATCAGACTTTAACGGAAGTTCTATTTATTTGGTATCATAATAAGTTTACTCAGAATTATCTATGTGATAATAATGAAATTAGTGAATGATAACTAGAATATGACCAAAAATATATGAGTATGATAAATATTTATTGATATATTCCATCACGTAGGAAATAGAAAATTTTATTGTAAGACCGCTTTCAGTAATATACAGAACTTTGTAGAATTGCAAGAATTATACAAAAACTGATCTTATTACAGATCTTGTGTACCGATGATGATGATTATTAGTATAATTATTCATATGATAATAATTTTAATAAGATATCACTAAGTTTAAATCTAAATAAATAAAAATAGGTATGTAATATTTGTACCGGACAATAATTATTTCCCATAGAAAGTTAATGTGCTTATTGTACAGTTTTATAAATAACTAACCTTGAATTCATGACTTGTAGCAGTATTTCGGTTATATTAAAATAATATTGTCAATAATTTTGTATTACATAATACATGAATATTGCACCATAAATAAGATAAGAAAAAAATCTTAACAACAACCTGTAAATACTATGAAAACTTTTTGACAAGTACATCCCACTTGACTGATCACAATGAAGTTTCTTTGCATACTTTTAAGTGTATTAAAACATCCATAATAACTTTTATTTCAGGATAATTAACATGCAAATCATGAGAAAAACTCACAAACTAAACAATAGTGTCAGACATAACTCTTCAAAATGATGCGTGTTTATATAAATAGAGCTGTATCTTCATTCATACTATACGAACCTAACACATTAAAAATATTAGGTCAGTAGGTAGGTACTTCACAACTTTGTAAACAAAAACTTTTTGTAACTGCCACAGCGCCACGAAATAACCAAATTCATGTGCCATTCCAGTTACAATAACAAAACTCGTACAATGTCTTCAATACAACCTAAGACAAGATCCTAACCTTACAGTGAATTATTTATAACTATTACCTACCTGTGCGTACTTGATATTGTACCGAAATTACTACTTGAAGCTAATCGTAACTTGCTCAGACATAACAACTCGAGTTAGCATCAAAAGTGATAATTTTAGAAGTCGTAATAATGAAATAAGCATCAGTTTCTTACCTCGTTGACACCTGAACTCCAAAGTGATCCGAGAGTTCGTTACAACTTCACACACAAAACTTCGAACTTTTAATGTTCAATGTTTGCACTAGACAATACGAAGACACTTTAAGTTACTTTATTTCGAGTCTTTCAACTTACAAACAAGCGGTTAACAACATTATCACGTAGAAAACAAAAAAATATTCACACGCTTGACGTCGCTTTCGCCATGGTGTTGATGCACTTTGGCGCGCTCTCGTGGCTTGTTGCTGAACTATCAATGTCACGTTTCTATCTACGCAAGCTGAAATACCATAAAGAATAAACTAATCGGGGATTAAGAGTTGCAATATTATTGCAGGTATAGAAAAATCTCGAATTTTTAATTATTTTTATCACTATGGAGTAAAAAATAACCACTCCATTCATTTCACATTTTCACCAAATATTATTATGCCAAAGAAAGTTGCAAAACCACAACCAACTACAGCCCCAGACGCGCTCTTCTGTATTTCAGATTCCTGTCATTTGTTCTAAAAATTTAACTTAATTAGTAAATAAACAATTAAATGTTGTCTGAATCTGTATCAATGACATTGATGCTGTATTATTGATTTGTTTTTATACTTTAATTATTTAGCTTCTGTATTTTAACTTTAGACGGTGTCTGCTATTTTTACCTAGATAACAAAAGTACTAAAATGTATTTAATAAATTGCTATGATATGATGCTATGATTAGGTAACATGTTAATAATTCTTTTATAAACTACGTTTTTGGAGATGGTTAATTAATAGAATAAAACCATCTCCTGCGTGTAACAAATACTTTACTGCAAACCGCACCAAAATCATACACATCCGTACAAGCACAATCCACATACATACAAGCTGAACTGAGAACCTACTTACCCCTATACTTATTACCTACTTTTTGAAGTCGGTTAAAAATGTTTCAAACATAGAATAACGATTAAAAATATATGCGAACCGAAAAAATGTCAACGGGGGCTACGTTTTTAAAAGATAACGAAAATATACTTTAGGTTACGGTTTGGGTATTCTTATTAAACGCGACTAAACCAAAAAAGTATCTAACACCAACAAATAATTTTGAAAGATGAAGAAGGAGAATGAACAATATTTATAATTGTAGGTAATACCTTTGTTTTTATAATAACTATCGTGAGACATACTAAATCTACCTACTAAAAATCGCGGGTTACTCGCGTGAATATACTTAAAAAAGTCCTACTATAGTTTCGAACCACAGAAGGGTTCTTCCTCATGAGCGACATACGCGTCATCGCCGCGACCGCGCACGCTGCACGTTTGTACCTTCCATTGATACCTTTCCTACAGTTGGGTAAAAATACTTTTATATTTTTAAAACAATAATATTCGTCTGAAATAAAAATTACAATTGAATTTTAAGGTATTTAGGTTGTAAATGATACAAGAATTATTAAAAAACGCTTTATTTTTATCCAGACAAGTAGACAAACAGTATAACTATACCAAAAAGACTGGACGTAGGTGCGATTACCACACAACACTAAGGTACGTTTTTTACGTCGACACAATAAATTTGACATAAAAAATGAAATTTTCACATTAGAAAATAAACATACAATATCTTTGTCACACATTGCATTTCTAAATTATATGTCAGCAAACATTTAATTTATTCAAATCACTGAAAATGCAATCTAAAACGAGCCAAGCAAACACATTTTCATTACTGATGTTTTATATTGAGCAGGTACAAAACAGCAAACAAAATCATTTAAACTAGACGATAAACCATGACATTGCGCCTCAACTAAAACTACAAAAATGACTAAAGCAGCATGACTGTTCCTTACAACGCTACTAAAATAAATTAACTAATCAATCATAGAGAAAAATCAAGTCATTGAGGTAATTTCTTACACAAGGAACCTTGCATTTGAAAATAGCTTATAGAATCACACTACTGAATGTTTACGTAAGTAATGAGTAATAAATATGTTAATAACAATTATAAGCATGGTCAGTGTTACAATTACAATAATTTTATACCTAAAACAATTTGGTTTGCTCACCTAATGTTAAAGTAGCTATATATTATCTTTATTACCTAAACAACTAGATGATGTGGTGATACGAATTCTTATCAATCAACATTTGAACTTCAGGAAAAGTTTTCAAGATAGTTAACACTAATATAGGTTTTACTATAGTAATTTTTGCATTATATGTAAATTATTCATATACTTATCAAATAACGTTCAATTATTTACGATTCGTTAAGAACAATGAAGTAAGCTGTAACTTATTTAAATTGTATTTTTAATACGGAAGTATCTTAAATTTAATTAAAAGCATGTTATATAATTGACGAAATTTCAGAAAGGTAAATGGGTACTTATATATTGGAAATCTTAACGTATTCAAATCAGTTACTAAGTTAACAAAACTCCTTCAAGCATCTTCAAGCTCAATGCAAACTGTTGCAATAGAAAAATCAAGCTTTTGAAGAAAGTATGTCAAATGTTACTATGTGCAAGAAACAGAGGCCCTAGTAAACTTGTCGTACTAAGCCCTCAGCTAATGAATAATGAATCTACGCTAACAACGACACACTAAGAAATACAAGATCCGTGAAGTAAGGCAACTTGCTAAAGCTGTCTGTGTCTAAATCTATATTACATCTACTAGAATGGGTCAGCCTCTTCAAACATAGCAACCGACCTTCAAAGAACCAAGTTTTAAATAACTGTAATCTCTGAAGGAAGGTCCATAACTAGGATTTGGACGCACTGGTTTAAAATTAATTTGAAAGAAACAATTTTTGTAATTGCAAAACAATATACAGCAGTTTTAAAGTGTAGATATTACCAGTGCTTCCTCACCTATATTGTACAATTTGTACATATCACCTACATCAACAATTCTTTAACATAATATTATGAAGCTACTTAATGAACTTCAACAGTAAAATATTAAAAAACAATTTCATTCAACAACCTTTTAGTTGTATGTTCTCATCACATAATTTATTAATCGATGTAGCATGGTGAATTCAACACACTGCATGCAGTAGCTTCAGTAGCAAATCATCGTGTTCCTAAAGATAGAGATGGGCAAACCAATTTTATCTCAATATATTTAAATAGTGAATCGCAATTTCGGCTAGACCAGTCAATTCCACTGATTATTTTTTTTTGTTGGGTTTGTTAAGAAAAAATATAAAAGTTTTAACCAACAACAAAACAAATTACTAACACAGAAGAAGTTGGGAGTAAACTTTCAAATTACTACATGCAATATAATCGTCACCATAAGATCTGAGCTTATTGAGAATCAATTTTCAAACTAAGTGCTCATTTTGTTAAGTCCTTTTATAAAGTTGGTCATATCATATTCCTCTTCATACTGCTTGTCGTCCCAGAGGTCTGGCAGTGTCTCGAGCACTGACTTCATGCCGGACGGTCCCGCCGCCGACTGCTGCGATGTTTGCTGCGGCGCGCAGTTACTGCTCGACAAGTTGAACAAGTCCAGCAGTTGGTCCGTACCCATTGTTTCCATTGCCGCGTTCTCACTACTGATTACTGTGTTTGCTGTCAGCAGTTTGAATTTTTGTAATCTGTGGAAGATATTTGGTTGGATTACTTGCTTTCTGATGGAGAAACGTGACTAAAGAGTTATGACTATTATTATTTATGTTTTTTATACACAAAATAGTATGTATAGTACTCAATTATGTAACGAAGACATACCCCATAATCTTTTCTTCGAGTGTATCTCTGGTGATGAGACGGTACACATTGACGACCTTCTTCTGACCGATGCGATGCGCTCGGTCCATGGCCTGCAAGTCCTTCATTGGGTTCCAGTCGTGCTCCACGAAGATCACCGTGTCAGCGCCAGTAAGATTTAAACCGAGACCGCCCACCTACAATCATAGATAAGTTCTATTATTTATAGTCTAATATATGTTTGTTTTCAAAAGTTATTAGAAATCTAGTACCGAAAGACGGGTTTGGCGATAGACTCGTCCCTGTTGTGTCGGGACTCATAACATAATTGGCAATAAGTTGGTGTCACATTTAACAATGTACACCGCTGCCCTTTAATAAATAGAAGCGTATAAAGTTACTTTGCGTCATTACATCTCTAAACTGATCCATGACCACTTACCGCAGTAGTGAGCAACAGCAGATCAATGGAAACATCGTTGTTGAACCGTGTGACTATAGCGTGTCTCTGGTGGGGGGGCACGCTGCCGTCCAGGCGTAAGTACGTGACGGCTGGTAGATGGCGCTTCAGTAAATCTTGCTCCACGATGTCCAGCATCTTCTTCAGTTGACAGAATACCAGCGCACGATGCTGGGATACTACAGCTTCTGGTTCCACGTCAGACGCCGGGGTGCCTATACCGCAGTCCAGAAGCAGTTGTCTGTGGGACAAAGATAAGTGTCGATTTAAATGATTTGTACATAAACATGACATTCATACTCCAACTACATTTTCTAGTTAGGTCAACCTATCTTTATTCTTCTTCAAATAACGAACAAATACAATATCAAAAGGGAGCTGCGAGGTCTATGATTAGCAATGGCCGTTATGATGTTAATATGATGAAAATGAAGATTATTTCTAGTACCAGGACATGTTACAACTAGGTGGACTAGTTATCCTAATAAATACAAGTGTAGTGATAGTAATACATACTTGAGCGCGGGTAGTTTGGCGGCGTGGTGTATGTCGTCGAGCGAGGAGTGATGGTCCTGCAGTCGGGCCGCGATGGCGCGCGCCTCGGGGTGCTCCGCAGTCAGCACTAGCTTCGGGTGGTTGCATACACTCTGTAGGTAGTGTAGAGCCTAGGAACAGAAAATAAATAAAATTAATACAAAAAGTTTGTTGAATTAACTAATTCAAGAATTAATAGATGAACTACAACTGGAAGTCAATTTCTTTCAAGCTGTGTGGTGACAGTAGAATTCATGTCACACATGTCATCTGTACTCTGCCATTCCTCAATCCCTGATAAACCTGAGATTTTTAAACTGCGATCTCCACATCGCGATGGTGATTATTGCAGAACGCTTCTTTTGTAGCTCATAGAAACTCCCTAGACCAGGAACACTAACATGGGTACATTTACGTATCCTTATAAAAATATAACTCGTAAAAATAAAGCCTGATCGGTAATGCTCACCTGGAACACATGTGTATGATGCGAAGTAATGCCTTGTGGCATATGTTCCTTAGACAGATCCTCGTAGAGTCGTCGTTGTAGCGGACTGAGCTCGCAGTAATAGTCCTGAGTGATCTTCGGAGGCAGCTCCTTTAGCACGTCTTCTTTTACACGACGTAGTAGGAATGGTAGGACCTGAAAACGTAGATTAATTGAATTAAGATATTGCGATTATAGTGTCACGTCATGGAGTAAGAGATATCAAGATGTTTTGTTTGCAAAGAATTATAACAAAAACTTACTTATTCTTCATTGCAACCGATACACTACCTTACATAGTTTTAGAGAAGCCCCTATTTATTTTAATAAAAGTATAGGATAATTTTTACCTGTCGATGCAAAGCCTCACAAGCTAGTGCCCCGGCCTGCAACTGATGCGGAGTTGCTTTGGCATCTCTCGCGGCGAGTATGGGCCGCGAGTACCGTGCTGTAAACTGCCGCTCAGTGCCCAACAAGCCAGGCATTAAGAAGTCAAATAATGACCATAGCTCCAATACGTTGTTCTGTAAACAAACATGTTTTATTGTTTCATTCACATGTCTTAAAAAATTATAAAATTATGGCAACAATTTCTATTATTTGTCTATCTATGATGAATTTAACAGTAGTTCTAGTAAACGCAAGTGCAGTTATTTTATGATACTTTACACCTCAATACGAAGAAGAAGTTGTTTGGTAAAACATTTCCGAATCACTTACAGGATGACCATATTTTTTCACTTAGTCAAAAGATATTATTCATTATGCAATTTACTCATAATTACCTGTATAGGAGTGCCCGACAGAATCAGTCTGTGGTTAGCAACAATTTGTTTGATTGCTTTAAATACTTTAGTCTTTCCATTCTTGATGACGTGACCCTCATCCAGGATGCAGTAGTTCCACTTGATACTGCTAAAGAAGTCAATGTCTTTTCTAACGATGTCATATGATGCGACGATGAAATTGTAATGTTTGACGTGATGACGTAACCGCTCGCGTTCGTAAGGTATACCCACATACTGGAGAGGCTTCAGGAACTTTGACGGTATGAACTTGTTCACTTCGAATACCCAATGACCTGGAATTTTAGTTAATTGTGGTTATTATAGTGTAAGTTTTATGACAAATATTTTGTGTTTTTTTTTCATGTTCGTAAGACATACTAGACAAGATATTTCAGCGTTTTCATTGCTTCATTTTGTTGATACTTTTCAAAAGTTTTATTTATATCAAAAGCCAAAATTCTGATGTCATAATGAGGGGCAGTGAATGATTATACAGGATTTTGAATAGATTTATCTGTAGTTCATCATCATTATCAGCCACAAGACGATTGTTGAAGGACATAGACCTCCCCTAATACTGTATATCTGTAGTTAATAAAAAATGATCTGTATAATAAGTAAAGTATTATATACCGGTGAGTGTAGGCGGGCATACGACGAGTGACGGTAGCGCGGGCAGTCTCTGCGCGGCTCGCTCCCAGTGCGAGGACGCGACGACTACGATGGACTGCAGCGTCTTGCCGAGCCCCATGTCGTCACACAGCACGCCGTGTAGCTTGTACGAGTACAGGAAGCGGAGCCAGTTCACTCCCGCCTGACAGACACAGAAATGGTAATTAATGATGAATATTTATCGTGGATTATTATCTACCATCAAAAAAGGTAGTTGACAAGATTTTCAAACTTAAACAACAAATTAAAATCTCAAAAATACGTTTTATTAACAAATCTTCTCTTCTTTCTTTGCATCAATAATGAACAAAGGAAAACCTTGTAGACCTTTTCTAGTTCAAATTCTCGATCAAAAAGAAAAGTTTTAGTATTCAATAATCGGTATAAACACTAATGAAAATCTTACTTTTAAATTACGAAACATTTATCAACATAAAATTAGGCTCCTTTAGAAACTAAAATACTGTTTACTTACTTGTTGATAAGATCTCAATTCTGCGGACACAGGGACGGGTATCTTATAATCATTAATCGATTTGGGATTGAAGAGTTGCTCGAGGAACTGTTTGTCGTGTCGGCGCCGCGCCTTGAGTTCCGGCGTCAGGTCCGGGGGCTCCGCCACTCCGCCGTCCAGGGGCATCAACTGGATGAGGGACGCGAAGCAACGAGTGGACATTATGCGCACTGCCTCGCAGTGATCACTCATGCGACCTGTGAAATTATAAGTTTGTGTCATTTTACTATAGTTAAATCTGATATTACCTTATTCGTTGAAAGCGTAAGGGGGATAGCAAAATTAAGAGGTATGTGTTACCTATACATATAAGATGGCCTTGTGATTTCGAATATTTTGATTATATTTTCAGTCTTTCTACTGTCGATTCAAAATAAAACCATATATGTCTTCCTGTATAACGTGCCAACTCACCTAACAAAGGTATGACGAGTAGCACGATGTATGGAACAATCTGTAGTTGTAGCGCGTCCACGACTCGGGCCAACGTTTCCGCCGCACCACACCGTACATAGTCACTGCGCACGTCGCTCAAGGCTGGTATGACCTGTAATTTAAAATATATGGTTTGGTTAATATTTGTGTAATTTATCAGACTATTTTAGACCCTATAATTCAAATCTTTTCAATCTCCCTGTGTGTATTTATCTCTCTTTCAGCCCACGTTATTGCTCGCTTGATTTACACTTAAACGTTGATTAGAAACAGATGCGAAAAGTGGTTTCTTTTTACAAGGGTTTAGTTATAATTATGCAAGATTTTTGCAAGTTACGAATGCAGTAAGATATGACCTCGTGTATGAGCGCGTGCATGGCCCCCGGGTACCGCGCGCAACAGATGGCGGCGAGGGCGCGCGCGGCCATGTGTCGCAGCGCGGTGTAGCAGGAGCGCGCCAGTCGCGCGCAGGCCACGGCGCCGCCCGATATCCGCGCGCGCAGCCCGGGGGCTACGGACCCGCATACGCATTCCAATACTTGTAACCGGCTGATTATTTCCTCCGCTGCTGAGCTTTCTTGTGCTTCTAGTTCTGGAAATGATAATATAATATACACATCAGTAAATATAGTAAGATATTATTAATTATGCAGCACTTAGATCCTACATGCAGTGTGTAATGGTATTAAGGTGTTATAAAAGTATTTCCAATTAAAGTAAAAATTAAGAAAATAGTATAAGTTTGTTTTTTATATGTGAAGACTTGTCATTGGCTGTCAGTCTCTCACACAATTTCTTAATTTTTGTTTTGTTAGCTGTTAGTCTTCCAAAGTTGTTAAATAAATAATCTATATATATAAAAGAAAGTCGTGTTAGTTACACCACTTATAACTCAAGAACGGCAGAATAGATTTGGCTGAAAATTGGTAGGGAGGTAGCTTAGAGCCAGGAGAACGACATAAGATACTTTTTAACCAATACTTTTTTTTACTTTTTACCGAAAATCACGAACGGGGACGGGAAAAAATGGGATTACGCGTACGAAGTCGCGGGCAGAAGCTAGTAAATAAATAAAGTAATAATTTACTAGATTTGTTTCAGTAGATGACATTAAAAGAAGTATGCCACAATTCAGTTATTTGGCGTTTTATTGTCTTTGCCTACCCCATATGAGACAGCAGTGGTGATATACACATATACATACAAATATTTTAACTAGGAATGTATGAAAAATGTACTCACCATTATCAGTCATAACCTTTTCGAGTGGTTCAGTAATAAACTCCCACAGTTTGGGCAGTTTCTCTGGCAACTCTTCACCGAAGTATGTCGCTAAACTAGTCAGGGCTAGCGTCGCCCCTCGTCTTTGTATCCTCAGTAATTTGCGAGCCTGAAATAATAATGGGATTTTATATTTATAGTTCTGTTTAATCAAGTTCCAGCAACTTTTCTCTCATGCATAGTTTACCAGACCGAGATGGGATCGAGGATCAATTGCGATCACCACAGAAGGATCGATTTTTATATAGTTATAGTGTTCAAAGCGAGTGAGGAGGCGGTAATGCAGAGCGATGTAGTGATGATGTATTCCCTTTTAGTTTTCTGTTTATAATTGTTTCATTTATTTTTCATAAATTTTTAGTCAGTGTCATTATCATAGAAGGATCGCCGAAGCATACTCTTGCTTAAAAGGTTGTTCCTTAAATAGTGTTTATATGTGTATATAATAGTTGATGTAATAAAATATAGTATTGATGAGTGTAGTAGCGGACCTCGTCCTCGACGGGCGGCGCGCGGTCCAGTGCGGCGGCGGCGGGCGGTCGTCCGCGGCGCGGCGCGGTCCGCTCGGCGCGCGCCTGCTGCTCCCACAGCGTCACGATGCCCGCGTGCGCGTCCACTGCGCGCACAGGGAAAATACATTTATACAAAACAATCAAATATTGGCTGCGCGACATCCGTCGCATAAGCAACTAGCTAACAATATTCACATTAAGTACTACTTTTAGGACTTGTATTACTCGTTATCATATACTTCTTGATCAAATATAAATAAAAAAAAATACATACACGCTGGTACATTGGGCGTTTGTTCCCCTCTGCCCTCGGGTCCGCTGTCCCCGCTCCCCGAGTCTCCATTTGTCTCCTCTGTATTCTCTAACGATATCCGCGGCGTGTACTCGGGGTCACATCTGCAATAAAATTACATAACTATTGCACACAGTCGTTTTAATGTCACAAAACTCAAGGGCTTATGTGAGTACTTCAACATAAGAACTGTAAATACTAAATAGAATTCTACGAAAAAATCTCAAATGTTGTTGTGCTATACGAAGGTTTCTTCAAAGTAGCGTTTGACTTTATTGCCCTTATTTACTGTATTGCCTACCGAAAAGTAAGCTTCCTATACAATGGTATAAGATATTTTAATAAAAACATCTCCTTCCTTTTCATAATACACCCTTTATAGAAATCACATCAAAATACCTGAGGAACGCCTTGAGATTGACGAGCACCTTGTTGTTGGGACAAGGATCTCTATGGACAAGCTGTGAGAGTAACACGGCGAGGGTGTCGGCAGAGTTCTGCTGTAGTTCCTCCGAGGGTTCCTTCTTGATGCTCTCCATCAATGGCCGGACTACTGGGTTCAGTTTCTCCGGCAACAAGTGCAGGTTCGCACAAGCTCCAGCGATCGCCGCTTGCACACTGGAAAAGATGGAGAGAAATGTTTCAAACTATATTAGGATTTTATGTCAGTAGCTAAAGTAATCATTTGTGGAGCCAGCCAGGTAAAAAAGTAGGTACTTTTAAAATCAGGAATTACAAGGTGTTATGGTTATGCATAACTTTCGTGAGATTAGATAGAGTAGCAGTGCGACAGTCATTGCGTCGCGCGTCGCGCGTCGCGGTATGCTGCTCATGAATATGAGCATTTAGCATGGCTTGAAACTAATCGAGTTCCTCGTCAAATAATTACACGAGAGTAAGCCCCAAAAAACATAAATAATTAAGGAGTTATTGTGTTAACAGCTTCATTTATTTGTTTGTTACCTCCTTACGTATTATCTTAGTTTTGCATGCATGTAGTTGTAGTTCTGAGTATGCAGAAGGAAATAAGGTAATTCCCTGGGGGCAAGCCAGTACTCAAATAAGAAGTTAGCTTGAAAAACTTACGAGACATTAAGCGATCCCTGTTCAATAGTGCATAGATTGACAGCAGTCTGCAAGTTCTTGCGCCGGTCCTCCAATGTCTGCGCGACTCGCTTGAGCTTCATTGCGGCCACGAGCGGCTGCGACATCGTCGTTAGGTAGGCTACCTGGAATGTTACAAATATATTCATTAAAATAAAGAAACAAATAAATAACGACTTATGAATGCAAGCTTTTTAATCCTTCAAGAGGTTACCAAATCAACCCACTGTTCAAAAATCCTGTTTCAAATCTCATGTTAATGGGGTTGAACTCCTTGAATAATAGGTCAAAATAAGATTTCAGTACTCATGAAACCTTACAGATACCATTGAGGTAAATATTGTTCAAGCGTCTAATTAATTATAGTCGAATGCAGATCAATCAGTTAGTGAATGGAGTACTAAATGCATGACAGATGTTTCGCAATAAAACTAAAAATAAATGTCAACAATATTAACCTGTTCTAGCCTCAAGATGTTGCTCAATTCTTCTCCGTCAACAGGTAGTTTGTAATGCTTCATCATAGCGTGCAAATCGCGAGCCTCTTGTAGTATTCTGAAAATAATAACATAAAAATTTAACAAACATTTCATTAAATTAAATTAGTAAGATCGGCTCTTACGCGACGATTTCCGCGCAATGCTCCTCATAAATAACTATCATATTATCCTGGGGTGGCTTCAAACTAGTCGAGTAACTTTAACAGTTACAAAGAGTATGAAAGAAAAATGAAAGAAATCATTTATTTGCTAATAATGTAGGTATATACATAAGTTGGAATGTAGTTAATTGATCCAATACATTTTACTATTCGGCATGCAAATATTGTATTTGGATTTAAAGTAACTCGTACAACATATTCCGTATGTCTCACGAAAGTTGTATTATAAAAATATTAGTACCTGTTACAGTTAAGCGCGACCTCGTCGTAGTAGAGAGCCTGGTTCAGCGCCGTGTGTAATGTACTCGTGAGCAGTGGAGGCGCTAACTTGGATATTATACTCTCTTCTTCTTTACTTTGTATATTGTCGCCTTGGTCTTCCTGTAAATGTTTCGTTGAAATTGTAATACATGGGCTGCTTTTTGTATCACTTCCCGGTTCGATTCCCGGGTCGGGCAAAGTATTACTGGGTTTTTAAAAAATCTAAGTAGTAGCACGGAGTCTGGAATTGTGCCCGGTATATGGCAATAGGCTCACCCCCTATTACATGGGACTTATAACATAAATAGTGAAAAGTGGGTGTTACATTGTACAGTGGCAAAATGTGCACCTCTGCCTACCCCTTCGGGGATAAAAGGCGTGAAGTTATGTTATGTTATGCTTTTTGTATCAACTCTGAATTATTACATGATTTATAACATAATTTTACTGGACTGAACAAAATAGACGTTATAATTGTTGCAAATTAGTGCGAATAATTTCTTAATGGCAAAGAAAAAGGAACAGAAATTGAACATTACCTTAGTGGCGGTGCCTCCGTTGTGTGTGAGAGTGGGCGGGTACAAGCGCGTGTCCCGCGAGTGTCGCGCCCAGCTGGACACGACCAGACTGCCCAGCAACCGCTGCAGCGCGCTGCCGGACCGGAGGTATACCACCATCACCTGGAGGGATACACAATATTCAAACTATGAAAACATATTCAACGCTTTCAATTCTTTTATAGTGACACTTTTTTTAATGAGAACTGATTTTCAGCTCACTAGATGGCGCCCGAGTAGCTTGAGGTTATGTTCATCTAAATACTGTAGCTGTCAAAAATTTTATATCCAATCACTATACATTAGTTTATTAGACAATATTGTCTACAGCGAAAGGTTACGTACACTTTGTCCATTTACGAAAATTAGGAAAAATTGTTATTGGTTTTACGTACCTTAACATAACAGTCTATGGGGCTCTCATCTTCAGCTTTGTACTCTATACCAGGTGCAGGTTGAACCAAATAACAGGACAGGTAACCTGGAAACACACGCAATAAACATAAGACATACATTTCTTAAAATTAAAGAAACTTTTTATTAGATTTATTGTTCGAAACTGGTTGCACATATCATAGTTCTAAGCAAATAAACTTGATTCTATTGAGTCTTGAAAGAATGATACGTCAATAATAAAGTCACAAGATCTATGATGACTCTAGCTAGAGTGTGATGTTATAATTAGATACTACTAACTATTTTTTATTGTGCAATCTAATTTTTAAGTTGATATATTATAAATATTAAATAGTGACCCAATATATGCGCAGCGAGGCACCGCGCCCTCATGACGTTCCTGTCGCGGGCGGCGCAGGCCTGCGACTCGGAGCCGCCGAGGTACCACTTGTGGCACGGCCGGGGCTCGCCCGCGCCCGCGCCGCCCTCCGACTGAGAGTTCGTACGCGCACGCCGCTCCTGAAAACATCGGAAATAATCAATTTATATTTTAATTACTATTTTGTCTGGTTCCCGCATGATTTATGATCATAAGTCCCAAGTATAGGTTGAAATTAGTCGAGTAATCTGTAGAAAACAATTAGTAATTAATATAATGTCTCACATATATGATGTAATATAATAACATGCTACTGCCGTATCTCACCAAACTATTTACGCTAATGAATTTGACCATATTTATAGTTAAAATAATATCAGTGAGATGGCTATGAAATCTATACAATCTGCGTAAATGGCTAATCCAGTATTGACAAGAGACATACTAACTTAGCTTGACTGGCTGCCTTTTACAAATAATTTCTGAACAAATAAAAATACTATGGTAAATGAATAAATAAGTTACCCTGGGCGGTGGATGCAATAACAGGGCGGGTTCGACGGGTAACCTCGCGGGCTGCATGGCCAGGCACAGCCACGTCGCCAACATCGGACACGCGGCCAGCAGGATCACTCCGAGAGACGCGTACTTTAGGAAGTTCTCCCAAACCTGGAAAATATGTCGATTATTTTATAGTAACATATTACTTTTACGTCTTTCAGTAGTGTTCGAATTAAAGACTCGGTTAAATTGCAGCATTTACAAGACGTGGCAATGTATCGACTATGAAATTAATATTACCTTTGAAAAGGGTAAAATTATCCCAAAAACCAGTATGAAAAGAAAAGTTTAGTTGCAAAGAAAGCAAGGTTTCTCACACTCTGTAGATTATAAACCTTTCAACAAAAAATTTTACAAAACCATTTAACAAAAAATTTAAATTTTTGAATTGATCAAATCTCTACTAACCTGCACAGCAATCTCCTGTATCTCATGAACATGTTCAAACAACACCCTCTGGTATATATGCCTCATCGCTTCCTGTAGCAACTCGGGCGTCCAATTCAAATACTGTTCTTGTTCCCCGTTCGTGACGTCATTATTTCCATTGGTGACGTCACTGGTGCCGTTTGAGTCCGTCCCGTTTTTGGGCTGGTTTGTGACTAGAGGTCGGGTCAATGTCCGTAGAGTTTGTAGCGTGGCTTTACGGACCGAGCTCGTTGAGTGGTCGAGATACGGCCATAGACGGGGAAGTACATCTGCTAAGTCGATAGGACTGTGGACAAGGGATTTTTTGCATTTTATTACTATGGATGAAGTTTGATAAATTTATTTCAAATCTCGATTTAGTTTTTCGAAAAATAGTTCCCGATTCATGATTATGAGCAATTCAGTCGTACATATCCGAGTCGAGAATTTGTTATATCTTATGATACTTATTCTATGACCACATTATATCTATTCATCCCCATTGACGATTACGCTAACTTATTTTAAAAATACTTACTGTAACATACTAGCTGGCTCAGGTAGCGCCATAAGAGCGGCTAACAAAGCCATATATGAGTTGGCAGGTGAGGCTAGATCATCTTGGTCAGCTAACAGTCTCCATAGCCTGGCTACGACTGCCTTCACGGCCCCTGCTCGTCGTCTGCCCAGTGCGGCGGCGGCAGGGGCCAGGGCTCCAGCTGCAACCGCTGATACATCTTCTGCTGAGTCTTCCAGACCTTGAATTAGATGTTCTAAGGCACCACTCTCGCATGCTACTTCCTGGAACAATTTTAGAGCGAATGTTAGTACTGCAGTATTTAAAAGTAAGCCAAGTTTTTATCATTACAGGATGTCCCTAGAACTGAATAGTTTTGTGTATTGTTCAGTTTGATCTTTAATTCCAGGCACTGTTTAATTAATTTTTTATAATATTTGATGGGCCAATGTTTGACCACTATCTTTCCTGGTGGTAAGCGATGATGCTGTCTACGATGGAGCACGTCGTCCCATTAGCAACCTATTCACTGGGGCCTTGACGAAACCCAGGTTATACAATTCAGGAATTATAGACTCCTTGTGCGTGCTGCTAAGGAGTGGAATACTTTTCAGAAAGAATTCCACTCATGATGGAAAGGACTTGGGGGAATTCCCACGCACACTCACTAAAATGTATCCGGCAGAAAACCGAAAGGCTTGCAACGTTACGCCTGTGTTCGAGACTTCGAAGCCGGATCTCCATAAGCGCATAATTCATATAGAAGATTTAGGCAACGTTTTTCTAGTTTTAATGTGTGTACTTGTATTAATACAGGTTGTCAAAGATTAGAACTGTGTTGCAGTACAGCACCGACCTGCCTGGCAGCGAGCAGGTACTTGAAGCCGAGCAGCGCGCCGTGTCGTGCCTCCCAGTGCGCGTGCGCGGCGAGCGCGGCCAGCAGCGCGGCGACGCGGCGCACGCGCGGCGCGCCCAGCTGCGCCAGCGCCACGCCCAGCGTCTGCGCACACGTCTCGCGCACCGGCGCCACCACCTGCACCCACCACGCTTGTTACCTCACGCAAACTATCGAACACTACTAAAGCAGAACATAATGCAAGGCGTACGTGTAACGCATCCATATCATCAGTTACACGGTTTGTACAATACTAATGAAATGAATAACATTAAAAACTCTAAAGATTTTATAATAACAGAAATTAATATTAGCGTTTACAGGACTGACAAAATAGGATAATGTAGAAAGTACCTGATCAGAAACGAAGTCTCCGAACCGATCCAATGCCAGAACACACAGCAGTCTGAGCGCCATGTCTTCCAGCCACTCTTGATGTGCTTGTTCCATCTATAATAGTAAACAATTTTTTTTAATTATCACGGACTTTTCGTTCAGGAACATAGCCAAGCCAGTAGTAATCAAAGTAACAGTAAATAAGAAATAGTTTTGCAAATAAAAAAGTGTCTAGATAACTAAATTCCACACTTTTTAAGGGGGGGGGGGGACCATCGAATGACTGCTCCCGTCTGGGTGAGGCGGAAGGGAGTGTCAGACTCTGAGTAAAAACCACCCCGTTCCTACACCTGCACTTCGACAATGTCTTCAGACATTGGAAGTTATTTTTAGTTTTTCTTTCTTTCAAAAACTCCACACTGGGCAGGTGATTTGACAGTTCAAAAAATTCAAGTTTATCGAAGACCAATGTTAACCGGTCTCTATAAACTATGCAGTCCCTTCAATAGCACTCAGGACACACGTAGAAGGAGCAAGAATGGCTACAGGCAGATTCTATTCTGCTATCAACACACTATAAAACAAGTGAACCTACTTCCTCACTAGTCATGTTAACGTCCTGTCCCGCGGAGCTGACGATCTTAGCTCGTAGTAGCTCTCGCAGTGCGCTGGCGGCTCCATGGCGCGCCTCCCACGCAGCACTGAATAGTTGCGCCTGTAGTGCTCCCGCCCACGCTTCCAGGGGCCATCGGGTACAGTCCACCCAGGAGCCTGAGCAATCTGGCACTGGAGCTGTGACTTCGACTGCGGGTAGATAGAAAATTAGTTATTAAAGTTTTAAGACTAAACTAAAGGTACCGTTGACGGTAATATTTGGAATTTGTGCCTTTTCTTTACCTCAAATGATTCGCTGTTTTGCGAATACATTTTTGGATGACATGTGATCCATGAAACAAGTCCTAAGCGACCACAATAACTCCTAGCTACCCAAAACATGTTAACATTAATCAACGAATCTTCACTTTTCTGAATTTACACGAGGCGATGAAAATGTTGATAATATTTTCACTATATTTATATCTGACATTAAAATTCTTCATTTAAGTAAAAGTATGTCAACCGCCGTCACCAATCCGCTGAGTACAAAAGCGCTACCGTAATTATGCATATCCGTATATTATCATTATTACAATAAAATACACCGAAGTTACTGCATTAAAATATCACTTGAAGGTCAGCATTAGCCGTGATCATTACGAACAATTAAATCGTACATTGTGATAAAATATAAAATGTAATTGCTTGATATTATGTATTAACAATATTATTTTACATAATTACGTATTATTGAGCGCATCTTGATCGTAAATCCTCCTTATTTATCTTTAAGTTACAAGCGATTAAATTGGTTTTCGAATTTCGAAATTATCATTCGCACGGAGTTTGGATTAGCGCCAGTGTTACCTGAGGTGTTACGCAGTAAACATATAAATGAAATTATTTATTTATTTATTTAATAGGTACACAAAACAGAAACACAGCGAAATACACAACAGAATAACAATACCAAACTGTAAATGGCAGACCATGCTTCCACAAGTATGTGCACACAACATGACATGCAACGACTAGTATTTATTTATTAATAATTATTTACAATGAACTATAATCCAGAACAAAATTAGAGATAATTTGTAATAATAAGGAGAATTAAGAATGAAATTACACAATAGATACATTATTTAATGTTCAATATTGTCCTCATCATCGGACCGACCAAATAACAATTTCTTAATAATATTCTTAAATTTGTGAAGCGAAGTATTGTGGATATCAGGCACGCCCATGTCATTCGAGAGTAGCTCGTTGTACTTGCGACACATCCGTATCACAGGATTGTGAGACGATACATTGTTGTTGCACATTGGCAAAGAGAAAAACATCTCGCGTCTAACAGATCTGGTAGGGATCCTGAGGTGAATCTGCGATAATAAGCTCGTGGCAAGAATCCCATTCATAATTTTAAACAAATATACCAAATCCTGGTAGGAACGCCTAATTCCCAAGTTCGGCAACCCAAAATGAGCAGAACGCTGTGCATACGTCTGAAGTTCTCTTTTTAAGCCATACCTATGTGACATGAAGCGCACAAAACGGCGTTGAGTCGACTCAATAAGGTCAGTATGTACCTATATTTAGGATTCCAGACTATTGACGCATACTCAAGTCTGCTGAGCACAAGGGACCTGTATAGGGTGATAGCACTGTTTTGATGTTTAAAATCTCTAGACATGCGACATATGAAACCCATAGTTTTCCTACATTTGCTGGAGATATCCGCACAGTGTACGTTAAAAGAAAGTTTGGAGTCGTAAATGACACCCAGGTCTCGTACTTCCGCTAGACGCTGCAAGATGTGGTCATTTGCGGTGTATTCAAAAGTGATTGGATTTTTTGCACGTGTGAATGTAATAACTGAACATTTATTCACGCTGAGATCCATGCCATTCAGTGCACACCATTCCAGCAAAGTGTTGATATCAGACTGTAACTGGTTACATTCTGTGACATTGCGAACACGAGAGAAAATTTTCAAATCATCCGCATATAACAATGAGTGGTTCAAGAGTTTAGGAATCAAGTCGTTAATATATAATATAAAGAACAGTGGACCGAGGTGAGATCCCTGTGGGACTCCTGAGGGTATAGATACCCTGTCGGAGTTGTAGCTTCCGAGGGTCACAATTTGACTCCGGTTCACTATGTATGATTCCAACCACCGCAAGAGGCTACCATGAATCCCCCAACAAGTATCCAATTTACAAAGCAATATTCTGTGATTGACTCGATCAAAGGCCTTCCTAAAGTCAGTATAGACACAGTCTACCTGTACATGATCGTTAAAAGCTTCAGAGATGTAGCTCGTATATTCAAGTAGATTGCTGACAGTCGATTTTCCCTTCACAAATCCATGTTGTTCCGGACGTATAAACGGTTGAATATGATAATACAACTGGTCATACACTAGAGACTCAAACACTTTTGCGAAAGTAGATAATATGCTAATTGGTCTATAATTACTGCAGTCAGAAATGTCTCCAGCCTTATGAATTGGGACTATGTGAGCTAGTTTCCACCTTGCAGGAAACACACCTGATGATAGGGAGGTATTAAATATAATGTGAAGGGGTACCACCAGGGCCTTGGCACAGTCTCGAATGAAACAAGGGGGGATAGCGTCAGGGCCTGCGCCCTTATTCCGATCCAAATTTATCAACTTCCTGTAAATTTTACTCTCAGTTATCGAGACAGTGGACAGAGTTTGGTTAAAAAGAGGTAAGTCACAAGAAATACTCACCGGGCTAGCGCTCTCCTCCACGAAAACTGATGCAAAGTATTTTGAAAACATGTTACTTATTTCACCTCCGTCACTAACAGTTTCATTCCCTAGCTTCATGGTTTTCGATATTGCGCGGCTGTTTCTTTTATGCTTAATGTAAGAGAAAAATAATTTTGTAGTGGTCGCTAGAGATGATTCAATACTGGCTATGTAGTTACGGTAGCAATTTTTTATAAGTTTTTTTGATTGAGCACGTAATACGCAAAATTCGTCATAATCTCGAGGGTTTTTGAACTTTTTATATCTCTTGTGAACGGCGAGTTTCTTTACGAGGCAAGACTTTAAGTGATTAGTATACCATATTGGATACTTAACACATCCAATACGCTTGGTAGGTACATTCGCCGCAATAACTCTGTCCAAAACGTCGTAGAAGCGATCAGTTATTATATTAATATCGTGATCATTCAATAGTTCGAACCAATCTACGTCATTCAACTGAGCAATGCAGCCATCAGTTTTACATTTACGGAAATTAGGGATCCTCTTTACTATCTGTGGCATGACTTTAGTTCTATTAGTTAAGATTTCTATTTCAATAGCAGGATGATGGCGGTCAGGTGTAGACAACGGCAAACAGTCAGTAACGACAATACTCTCCACATCAGACATGCAAAGATCAAGAATCCTACCATTGTCATTATATACATGATTGTACTGGTGCAATCCAGTAATATCTAAAAATTGGACAAGCAGGTGGGACTTAGTGTCGGTCGCGCTTCGAGGTTGCTGACGACAAGGAAATGTATCGTCGCCCCTCCAAGTAACACCCGGTATGTTAAAGTCGCCTAATATTAAAATCCTTTCGTTCAATCCGGAGTGGTCGATCACGGCATCCTGACATCTCTCAAAGAACCTGCTATATTCCTCAACACAAAGGCTGGGTGGTAGGTAAACCAAGTAAATATATAATGTAGAACCTCCCTCACAGCTCAAGGATATCGCTAGATCCTCGTATGGGCTCTCACGGTCGCCATGACGGGACACAATAAAACTTCTCCTACATGCTATCAGGACACCCCCACCAGTCTGCTTTCGAGAGCCAGTTGTTTCTCGATCTCTCCGAAACACAACGTACCTGTCATCCACAAACTCACTATCGCAGAATGAACCATCGAGATTAGTTTCACATAAACATATGATATCATAATTCTCATTTAGTATATTAAAATATAATTCATTCAATTTGCTTCTAATACGATTAACATTTTGATAATAGATTTTCATAAATTAGAGAGATAATGTTGATTGAAATAGCAAGACACAAGTATTATAAAATATGATAAAATGAATATAGGCACTATATAATATATTACGTCAATTTATTCAAGCAGTCTTTACTTTTAATGTGTATAGCAGGACAATCTATATCCTTCTTTAAATAAACACGGCCATATTTTACCCAAACAAACCTAAATGAGTGAGCCTTAGCCGCATGTCTAGCTGCAGCGTGGAGATCCTTACATTCCGGGGAGAGATGTTCACTTAGGTATATTTTACGGCTTTCACCTGTGATACCTAAGGCTCCAGAGTTCAAAGAATTGTTTGGATGCTCTTTGTTGTATCTTTTAAGGCCTGATATGACATGGTCACGCAACCGCTCTGACCTCAATGTTACCAATATGTTTCGTGGTCTGTTTGAAATAGGATTAAGCTTTGCAACTCTTCGACACGATATTATATCGCTTTCTGATACGAGGACACCAAGCTTCTCACAAAGTTTCTTGAAAATAAGATCAACGTTCTCGTTGCGGTGCTCAGGAACGGCCTGAACCTCCAGATTACGGCACCTTGACGTCTTTTCTATTGTAAATAAACGTCGTTGTAGCCTGGACATTTCAAATAGCGTTTGTGACTTTTCAAGTTCAAGCTCATGAACGATTTTGTTTATTGCCTCCAATTTTACCTTTAAATCACTCTGCTCCGATGCTATAAAATCTGTTGTTTGTGTAAAGTCGCGTTCCAATTTTTCTATAAGCGATTGTGGATTACTTTGCTCCAAACATTTAAGCCTGTCATCGTAGCTATCCAGACGACCGTTAAACTTAAATATGTCATCGAGTAAGGACCTTAAGGTCGTTTTTACCTCAACCATATCCGTCCGCAAGCATCTAATTTCCGAGATGAGATCAGCGAACGATTTCGAGTTTTCCGCCTCATGCCTTTCACTCACAGGAGAACCAACAGCCGCACGCTTATGGGCGCGAGACTTAATGTTTACATTTGAGCCATCGATATCAGCGTCACTAGATGACAGCTGAACAGGTGTTTCATTATTATGGTATGTGCGAGGAGACTTGGAGCGACAGGATGGACATGACCACGAGTCGCGTTTCTTGTTTGTGTCAATTGATGTTGCATTGACACATATTTTGTGATAGTAAGCACCGCAAACTGAACATTT